TAGTCCACTGTGGGTGTGTGCCTCCTCTCCAGCACTGTGTTCCCTCTGCGTTGGTGTGTCCCCTTAGCCTTAGCACTTCGGTCACTTTAGACCGGACGATTCTGTCCTGCACACTGCAGAGCACCTGTCCCCTAGACGCCTGTGGCGCCATACCCAGTTGGCAGTGTCCCCGGCTCTTGTGGTCTCAGACTCAGTCTCCTGCCTCCGCTGTCCAAATGCTTGGTGAGGGCTCACCTGGTGACTGGCTTCTTCCCAGACCGGAGCCTTCTCGTCCTCTGATGTTGCCCAGGTCAGGAGGGCTGGTCGGAGGGTCTAGTGGTCACACCCAGGGCACACCCTCTGTGGAGTTCAGAGGAGAGGTCCAGCTGGAAGATGAGATTATGAATTTGAGTAGCCTGCTGCCCCAAACTTAGCAAACTTTACCGAGAAAACTCCTCTAGGTGCAGGCTTTTAATAACCTTTAATTTTATTAGGCTTTAACTTTTCTGGCATTGTTGAAAAGCAATGGATTTGCCCATAGTAGAAAACACAGAAAATGAGGAAACGCCTCCAGGTCATCTCCACTGCTGCCCCCAGCCTTGTAGCCCCAGTGAACCCTGTAGCTTGGGCCCTTCTTGACCTGCCTCCCAAGGACCTGGATGTTGACACTGGCCGAGGACCTCAGTTCTAAGTGTCTAATGGGACCATTGTGTGGCCCTGCCATGGAGGGGGTCACTTCAGCTTGTCTCCAGGAAGGACTTGGGAGACTGCCTGATGTTTCAGTCACTTGGTATCAAGGACACAATGGAGAAGCCTGCCTTCTCTCCACCCCTCCTCCCAGCTGCCCTTGCCCTTGACCCAAGGCCTTGCTGAGGTCATTTTTCTTGTGGCATTTTCGGATTCATTCTGTGTACACAAGTACCCATTCTCTCTCCGGACATTGTTTTCAACGGAGTTGTGTATGGTACACGGGGTTCTGCCCACACAGCTCTCGTGTGGCCTTGGAGCTGTTCCTCGTGGGCATGCACAAAGCTTCCTGTCTGCTTCTTTTTACTGCCTCATGCTGTTTCTTCAGAGGCACGCAGCTTGTCAGCGGTGCTTCTCCTGGCAAGTAGTTTGCTCTGATCTTGTGCACTCAGACAGGCAGCTGCCGCCCCAGGGCCCGCAGCATTCATCCGGGTGATGAGGAGGGATGCTGGAGCCACTTGACAGCCAGCCTCCCTGGTTTCTCTCCCTTCTCCCACCTTTTATGTTCCCCGCTTCTACCTCTTCTTTGGGCTCCAGATTTCCTTTCTGAACTTTCTGGTTGCAGCAGGATTTCAGGAGTCTGCTCTTTGGGACTCCCCTTTGAAGAATTGAGTTGAGCCCGACAGCTTACTTAATCTTCCTGTGGAAGTGTAGTAGGAGATATGGTCCCTGGCCCCCCTTCCCTAGTACATGGAGACCTCAGAGGCTCAAGATCTTTGCCCAGTGGCTGAAGACTTTTCTTGCCTCTCTGGGGTCCATGAAGGGCTGTGTCACGCCAGTCTGGGAACCTTCCCCAAGCCTCTGAAATCATCCTGCTGCTCCTTCAAGTAACGGAGTAACCCAGGCCTGTGCCTTGTGGGGCTGCGCGTTGCCAGTGAACAGGGAAGGCATGTGTGTGTGTGGGGTGTGTGTGGACTGAGAAGGGACCCTCTCCAGCAGTCTCCATTTGTCCTCGATCTTCCTAGAGGCTCTGAGCTGGCGATCTCAGGATCCTTTGTAAGATGTCAGTCAGGCCAAACTTTCTCAGTTGCTCTCTTTTCCTGTACATCCCATCTGTTTTCAAAGTTAGAGACCTCCCCATTGCTTTTAAAGGATTGGGCTGATGCAGAAAGAGGACTGCCTGGAAGTGACCGCAGGCGCCTTAGCAGGTGAGAGGCACATGCTGACGTCATCTAGATACCAGCAGAGTTCCCCAGAGGGAAACTGAGGCCATGGTAAAAATGGCCCCACCAGGTGTGGGTGATGTGTGCTTATCTGTCACCTGCCTTTCCCGTTCATATTTTGCTGATGTTTTAAGAGCCCACCTCTGAGCAGCCAAAGGCTATGTGACCTGGGCCAGGGTTTCTGACTCATGAGGCCAGTTACAGCCTTCTGTCTCCACTTGGGCTGGAATGATCTGGGAATGAGACAGGCGATCCAGGTTCTCAGATTGTGGAGGCTTCTCAGATTTTGTTTGTTCACTTGCTGTGGGCACGGGTGGGCCTAGGCCTTGCTGCTGTGTGTCTGGCCTGTGCTATGTGCAGTCGTGGGAGCAGGTGGATTGGCTGCCATTTATTTCTTCAGGAAGTGCAGGGAGATAGAATGGCCTGAGAATCCCCAGTGACATCAACGATAACATTCTCCCGTTGGGTTCTTTGGGGCCAGGTTCTTTTGGGTCACAGGGTTGAGGGGTACGCTGGACCTTGCTTCCTCCGGTTGACCTAGCTGGTTCTAGTGGCCTTCAGCCCAACTGTCTGCTATATCAATTCCTCTGCTGCCCATTAGGAAGCATTTGCCAAGCAGCTGGCAAACATATAAGAAGGGTGACCTCAGCTGAGGGGAGATCCTGCCTGCCTCCTGAGGCTGCGGGGATGGAGGTTGGCTGTGGCATTTATTGTACCCTCTGAATGCTGTGCCAGGGCTGGGATCTAAGCTTCTTTTCCATATTTATAGCTCTACTGGACAGCAGCCCTTTATGAGCGGCTGTTGGCTAGTGGGTACCAGAACTAGGCCTGGGGCAGTTTTTAATTTTACTCAGTCCCAGTTTCAAGGAGCCTAGTTGAGCAAACTTCAGGCCCCTGACCTGGCTTGGACCCATCCTTCTCTAAGCATCTACCCTTTTCTCAGTAAATCACATACATAGGCCATTCATTCCCATTTCTCCCTGAGTGACAGGAGTCTATACTCAGGGACCAAGGGATGGAAGGATGGAAGGATGGAGACACAGGTTCAGGGGTATATTGTGTGAGTGGGTGGGGAAAGGTTGGGGATAGAGAGTGCACCCTCCGGAGAGGGATGAGACAGCCCTATTTGCTGGACCTCACAGAGATGGGTTCTCGCTGGGTCTTTCAGTAGGAAATGTGAGGCAGGTCGACGAATGAAGGCGGGTAGCCAGCAGGGTATGCTCTGGAAAGGTGTACACCGAACCCTTGTGCTTAATTGGGTGAGTGAGACAAGCATGATGGATAGTTGGCTGTGTGACTATGTGGGAAGGTGGTAGAGAAAGGTGGAGGATACAAAGCCCAGGCTAATTCCACTGTGAGAGAAAACAGATTTGTCTTCCTGAGCCTGGCTTATTTCATGTAGCACAGTGATCCTTAGCTCCACGTGTTTCCCTGCGCTTGCCATGGTCTCTTTCCTATTTGCAGCAGGATAGAAATCCACTGTTCATATTCCTTTCTGCATTCATCCGTTGACAGAGCCAGAGACTGGTCCCATATCCCATGTTGTGAAGGGTAGCAATAAACATGGGTGCAGGAATGTCTGGTGTCCTGACTTAGAATCCTTTAGGCATATGGGCTAGATGAGGGAAGGGAGAGGGGAGCTAGTGAGGGTACTCAAATATGTGTGACATGGAAGCAGAAGAGGGATGATTTGAGAGGAAAAAGGTGACCAGAAAGGAACGGGCAGGAAGAGGGAAATAAGAACAAAGTATAATGATGTACGTGTATAAAAATGTCACAGTGAACTCATTTCTTTGTATGTTAAGAGGTCATAATAGGGGCTGGAGAGATGGCTCAGAGGTTAAGAGCACTGGCTGCTCTTCCAGAGGTTCCGAGTTCAATTCCCAGCGACCATATGGTGGCTCACAACCGTCTATAATGAGATCTGGTGCCCTCATCTGGCGTGCAGGCACACATGCAGGCAAAACACTGTGTACGTAATAAATAAATCTTAAAAAAAAAAAAAAAAACTTTTTAAAAAGAGTTCGTAATAATGGCTGGGTGTGGTGGTGCACTCCTTTAACCCCAGCACACAGGAGGCAGAGGCAGAGGCAAGTGGATCTCTGTGGGTTCCAGGCCAGCCTTGTCTACAGAGCAGTTCTAGGACAGCGAGGGCTACACAAAGAAGCCCTATGTTGACACCCCTCCCTCCCAAACCAAAAAAGGGGAGGGAATTTGTAATGAAACATAATAGCTATATTAGTTACCCAGAAAAATAGTGGCCGGTACGGTGTTGCACACCTTTCATCTCGGCACTTGGGAGGCAGAGGCAGGGGGGTTGTTGTAAGTTCGAGGGCAGCCTGGTCTACGTAGCACGTGCTAGGGTTACTGGAGCCATACAGTGAATCCCTGTCTGAAAAACAATACAAAAAACCAAAATGGAGAAAAATCTTAGAGTTTTGTCAGGGAGAATAATTATTCCTCCCCCCAAATCCAAACACCCCCGCCCCCCTCCCCCCCAAAAAAGAAAACTCCAAACCAAAAAAAAAAAAAAAAAAAAACCCAAAAAACAAAAAACAAAAACAAGCTCAGGCTAAGAGTGATGTGTTCTGCTAGAGTTCAGGGAGTGCCAGAGGGGCCAGGGTTGGAGAAACACAAGTGGGAAAGTAGCTGGCTGATGTGATAGGCTGTGCCAGACCTGAGAACCAGGCCAGGGTGTTTAGATCGAGGTGAAGGTTTTGGGGATCAACCTGTGATAGTTGAGGCAAACGGGGGAGTCTTGGGGTTGTCCAGGCTCTTTACTCTGACCTCAGCCTGGCTCAGGGCTGAGAGGGTGGGGGCGGGAGGTGGGGCAGGGCTGGTAGTTGCTGTCAGTTCTGTAGGGCTCCAGCCAAGTTTCCCTGGGAAGCAGCCATCTCTTCTAGGTTGTGAGAGGAACTGGGGGTTCGGGACTCATAAACCTCGTCCTTGAAGGAGGTCCTTCTGAGGCTGCTGGCAGGCAAGGCATGGCCGGAGCGGTCATGCTGCTGTCTCAGCTGGTCCAGCTTCCAGCTGGCTGTCAGGGACGGTCTGGAGAGGATGGACGCCGCCTGCCTGCTGGATTAACATTCGTTTTCTTTGTTTTCTCCACAGGAAGCGAGGGATAGAGGTCGTCCAGGTGAGTACAGAAGCGTGCGCTTAATCTGTCTTTGTGAGAGTTTGGGGGGGCTGACCACTTTTTATGGACACCTGGATTGTGACACCCCCCTGGAGATCTGACATTGCTTCTGCCCCAAGCTGGGTACAAACTGATGGCTGCTTGTGTTTGGAGCATTACAGTGGGTGAGGAACAGGAAGGACCAGAGGCCCACGGGGGTCATGACACTTGGGTTGGGTTAGGAAGGACAAAGGGATGGTAGTGCCTGGCTATGTGTTGCGTCATCCTGTCCTCTGTGCTGAGTCTTGGGCTCATTGGCTGGAGAAGAAGGAAGGATGGATGGATGGTGGGAAAAGAAGTGATAAGTGGAGGAAGGAAAGGGAAAAACAGAAGGAAGGGAGAGAAAAGAAAGTATGGGTGGAATGAAGGAGAGAGAGAAGAAAGAGTGGAGAGCTGGTGGGTGTCCAGGCTCCAACAGCAGCCATCTCAGGAAGGTTGGCAGGCTTGACCCGTCTGAGAGAGCCTAGGTATGGGATTACCTGTTGCTGTTCTGGTAAGAGACACTACACTGGCGCTCATGGTTGTGTCTTCCCAGGGATGGTAAAGTGTATCTATCTCCATGTAAACTCAGAAGTATAGACCTGTAATGAGGGGCAGGTTATGACACATGCACCAAAGCCGTGGTTTCCTGTGTCACCTCCACTGTCCCTGTCTGAGATGACCTGGACTGTCTATGTAGCAGCAAGCCATCTACCCTTTAAGGCTCTATCTGCCTGTAGCCACAGAGGGTCACCTGCACAGGGACCAGACCAAAGCTGATGGCAGACATCTGGAGGAAGTTTCTAAAAAGCCTGCTGGCCCATACTTAGAGTCCTTATTTGTTCAATTTAAGGAGGCCTCTTACTCAGCAGCTATAGGAAAGGGTTTCACAATTTTGCACATACCTGGCAGGCCCAAGGTCTTCTCTGTACCCTGGCTGTTGGTAGAGCAGGAGCCTGGAGTCATTGTTCATAGAGTGTCAGGCAAAAGGGTTTTGAAATCTTTCAAGATGTGTCTGTTGTTCATTTGGCTGATGACTTGAGGGAGGAAGTGGTGGCTAGGGGCAGAGTGAAGCCAAACTGGGCACTGTCTACTCCGGCATCTAAGAATAAAATCTATTCTGCCTGCCCCTCCTCCTGGCATCTGGGAGAGTCGTGAGAACCTTAAAATTTGAAGATGCTGAGAGAGACTGGATGGCAAATCACTTGGCTGGATTTTCAAAATCTGTTGGGTCCTCTTGCACCACAGGCCAGGATATGGGCTCCTGAAAGCCAGAAACAGGCGGGGTGCCAGTCACTGGGTTAGGCATTGAATGAGTTAGAGAGTTAGGGCGACCATGTCAAAGCTACCCCAGCATCCCTCTCCTCTGCCAGGTCCCGATCGTATGGGAGGAGGTATCTCTCTTGCAGAGATGCGGAAACTGGGGCTCAAGAGGCTGCGGCCTTTTGGAGAGGTCAGCTGCTTTGGTGAAGTTAGGGCTGAGTTTGGGTCAGCTCATTTACAGCTCTGTGGCCTTCTGTCTGCATTTAATGCATGATCCACGTACAAGGTACTTCACACCTACTGTTGTTGGCCTTTTGCTGCTGTCTAAGTGGTAACAGGACTTGGGTTCAGGACCCAAGCGTGACGAACCTGGGGAAGATCCTGCCTGCTTATTCCGGTCACGGAAGTAACCTCTCTCCCTGTTACCTGTTGGTAACAGTGGTGGCATCAGCGACGGGCGTTTATGGGGACTGTGTTGTACCAGGAAGTGGCCGTTTATTCTAAAGGAACATCGGTGTGTAGCCTTTCTTAGGCATGGGATGTGCACACCCACGTGATGTGCGGGAGAGCTGGCAGATCCCTTCTTCTGCCCCAGCCACTCCTGCCAGGGAAGTGTGTCTGGAGATGAAGAGCAAGGCGGCCTGGACCCAGCTTCTGGCTGTGTGACAGGCGTGCCAGTCTGTATAGTGGGATAATCGGCAGGCCTGTCCAGGCTTATGAGGACTGAGTCAGTCCAGGTGACACGCCTGTCACTGGGCCTGGCACACAGAGGCTGATGATCTGCAGAGCTGTACCTCAGGTTGGGACTACAGGACACAGCCCTCCCTCATCAAAGGAGGCAGCTGGCCATGATAGCCCTGGCTGGATAATGGCTGGAGGTAGTTCCTTGCTGCTAGTAACAGAACTGAAAGAGGAACTGCTGGAGTTATCAACTGGCTAGCACATGGGTAATGAATTTGACGATTCATCTCCCCTTCCCTTGATTTTTTTAACAGTTGTTCCTATAAAAACTGAAAGCCGGAGGTAGAATTAAAACTGTCTTACTCTGGCAGTAGGTAAGACTCCTCTGTTGGTGCATGAAATGACTTTTTAAAAAGTCCCATTCGTCTCTTCAGAGTTGCATTTCTAATAAGGTTTTCTTTTTATGCGTGTTACTTGTGTAGTATTGAGTATGTTGGTCATATTGATGAATTATATATTAATAACCAAAAGTGGTTTACTTCAGAAGAGACTTCTGATGTATGTAAGAGCTTTATGACCACATAAAAAGCCTTTGAAGGAGGAACAGTATGTACATATATTTCCTTAGCTCAGTGGTGTGGTAGAATAATTAGTAAGAGACTTTCCAATGTGAAATACTCTGACAGTTTAAACATCTCCAGGGAAAGAAAAAGGAACAGTGTTTGATTTCCAGCTGTCTAAGAAGGGCTTGATTATACAATCTGTAAATGGATGATGGTGGATCGCAGATCACCAGGGTATTTAGACCACATTGGATCCATTTAAAAGAGAAATAGTAACAGTTTTATTTTCTAATGTCAATATTTACATCATGTTGGATACGACATCCTCCTCAAGTATTTAAACTACAGGACATTTCAGATGTCAGCTTAAAAACGGGCTGTTGGAGCCGGTTTTAAACATTAATCCTGGGGTTTGGTTTGAAAGCTGTTTACATCTTAGAACCAGGTACTTCCTTAAAGAGGGACAGCGGCAGGCCATCAAGAGGCTCTGCAGGTTCTCCCCCACAGGGTCCCGTGAGGTTTCCTTGGCCGCCTGGCCTCTCCTGACCTGATTTACTGTAAGTTGTGCCACTCTCTGCTCAGGTTAACTCAGGCGGGGGAGGCTGCCAACGAGCCTGGGGTGGAGAAACAGGAACCCTGCTTTGCGTTGAGTGCTCAGGCACTGGGCAGAAGCCAAGGGTTGAGGTACAAGGTGTGGACTGAACAGGCATCGCTCTCCATATGGCAGCCTGGGCAGCTGTGTGAACAGTCTGCACTAGGTGACCAGCGTCCAGAGGGGGAGAGACATTGGTACCCTCACCCCATCGGATATGGCTGGTGGAGGAAAGCTTTATGTACCCATTAGGGCCTGCTTGAGAGTCATGGCCCAAGCCCACAAACCCATCAGAACTTGCCTACCCCCTTCACCCCCAAGTTCAAGAGCTTCAAACACAGCCAGATAGTTGCCAAATTGGCCAAGTGCTAATACAGAGCAGTGGCCGCCTTCTTGGAGAAACGGATCCTTAGAAACAGCTGGGGGAAGAGGGTTATTGGATTCAGGGCTAGGCCCTTGGGCTTCCCCCAGGGCTCATCAAGAGCCCTGTGTTTCTCTGGTCTGCTCTGTAGATAAATTCAGGAGAGAAGCCTTTCTGTGAAGGATTTCATTACTCCTTCCTCCCTTATCCCTGAACTTAGCATAGTGAGACCCAAGAAGACTGGGCTGCAGCTGGCATGCTGGCCAAGCCCCTACCCCACCGTAAGCCTGGCTTCCACCCCACTGGGGAGAAGGCAAGGACTGTTAGCCTGGGTTTTTATTTTAAAATGCAAATGAGTAAGCCACAAGTGTGAAAAGTACAGTAGCCAATTATAGATTCTTCCTTTCAAATTCTTGGCAAATTCAGACATTATGAAACCTAGTCTTGGGACAGCCACTGTTTCTCAGGCTGGCAAGTAACTTTCTCCAGATTCAAGAGGGAGCAGGCCCTCTGTGCTGGTCTCTCCTGAGCTGTTACCCATTTGAGATGTTGTACTTAAAAATTAAAAAAAAAAAAATGTGTATGGGCGAGGGCTGGAGAGATGGCTCAGAGGTTAAGAGCACTGGTTGTTCTTCCAAAGGTCCTGAGTTCAATTCCCAGCAACCACTTGGTGGCTCATAACCATCTTAATGAGGTTTGGTGCCCTCTTCTGGCCCGCAGGCACACACTCAGGCAGAATGTAATAAATAAATAAAAAATAAATAAATAAATAAATAAATAAATAAATAAATAAATAAATAAATCTTTTAAGAATGTGTATGGGTGTTTTGCCGGCATGCAAGTGCCTGTGGAGGCCACAAGAAGGCATTGGATATCCTGGGACTGGAGTTCCAGGTGGTTGTGAGCCATTATGTAGGTGCCAGGAATTAAAGTGAGGTCTCTGAGAAGAGCAACCAGCTTGCCCCAAAAGCTGACAGACAGCAAGCTTCCAAGGAAAGGCAAGACCAAGAAGCAGAAAGGCTGTGTGCTCAGGATTGGAGAAGAATTTGGTGCTGTACCTCTGCAGTTCGAGGATAGGGTGTGAGCTTGATGTGCCAGCCCTGTGGATGGAGCAGGCTTTCTGTGGTGAGTTAGGGTCTTTGAGGGAGCGAGATGAGGAGGAGGTGACAATGGGGAAGCCCTGTAGAGAAGGTGGTACCTCTTGATGAAGAGTGAGCGGCATCCTGAGTGTTATGGGAAGGTGTCAGGATGAGATGGTGGGATGCAGAATGGCCTGCACCCAGACTTGGAGGCTGGGAAAGTTGTCTGTTGATGATTAGTGGTCTAGGTAGGTTGGGCTTTGGGTTCCTCTCAGGAAAGAGACCGGGACAGAGAGAATGGGAGAGAGCACAACACTGAGGTGTGGGGCAAACTTTGGTGGGGGCTGAGTCTGTGCCCTGAAGGTATTTGATGGGAGGGAAGTGCCCTGTGATCTAGTTGGGAGGAAGAGCTCCCTGTAGGGCACAGGAAGGTTGACAGGAAA